AAATGTTTCCACCAAGCGTGGTGACGTAAGTCTGTTTTGGTATGACACTATATTTTGGGAAACCTTCCTAACAAGCATGGTGACGTAAGTCTGTTTTGGTATGGAAGTGGATTTTGTGAAACTGTTTCTACCAAGCGTGGTGATGTAAGTCTGTTTTGGTATGAAACTTGCTTTAAGTGGTAGTTCCACCAGACGTGGTGACTTTTGTCTGTTCTGGCTTGGAACTGGGAATGAGTACTTTCAGACGTGGTGACTTTTGTCTGTTATGATAAGTAACCCTGTTTTGGTGGAAGAATAAGGGTGGCATATCAAGGAGAGGTATACTTGGAATAAGGGAGGCATTGTCATATGTGGATATTATTATTATTACTAATTGGATTTAATAGCTTTGAGTCATTATTTCTTTCTGACCTGATGAATTAGAGATATTATTCCTGTTAGAAATAATAATTTAGACGTTATAGAAGGGGAAAATGGTTTGTCATAAAAGGCAAGTATTGCCTTAAATCTTTTCAGAGAAATTCTGGTATTTTTAGTAGGATGATTCAAAGAATCTTTGGTTACAATATTTGTTTCATATTGAGAATATTGTATCTTTAAGCAGATGTATTTTAGTAATAGAACTGAGGTTCTTGAGTTTATTCTTTTAAGCATATCATTGAGAACTGTATCATTGGATCATATTACAAATATTTCTGAGCAAAGTTACTTTATTATATTTTGGTGTTTATCACCTTGTATTTGCAAAGAAAGAATTTTCTCACTAGACCCTTCTGGTCTAACCCTCATTTTCTGTTTTAAAATTATGCAATGTAAGAATAGCGGGGTCCGGGGATATTAAAGGGAAAGGGAAAATGTGATTATTTTCATAATCTGTTATCTGCTTTTGAAGATACATGTTGTATTACATGTAATAGTACAAGATTTGTTTTGGAAATTTTTATATGTAAAGTTTATACATATAGTAATCCTTGTACTAGTGGGACCTTATGACGTAAATTATATTTCTATGTAATGAAATATGTGTTATATGCAAATGTGGAGTTTGGGGTTGTTATAGATGAAGTGTCTGAAATTAAATCTAAAGAGGAGATTGAGAGACGAAGAGCCTCGAGTTTAAACCCGAAATTGTTGAAAAATAAAATAATGCTAATAAATTGAGAAAAAAGGAAAAATGGGATACTAAACTTAGAAGATGCCACATCATCTCTTCAAGTTTCTACTTTATATAGATATATAGATATAGATAGATTGATTGATTGATTTTCTAACACAATATTATACATTAATAAAATAAGAACCTAACAAAATTTCGTAACGAAGATTGTTACAAAAACTTTGCTTACCATTTTTTTTAATATAAAAATGTAACATTATTTATAGAATATTATACAAATTTAATATATATAATAATAATAAATTTATTAAAAAAAATCAAATTCAATCATAAATTATTGACCTTTATTTTTCTATATTAATTAATTTGTTGATATTAAGGATGAGGACTAAAAATTAAAAATTGAACAACATTTGAAAATTTTGAGGATATTGTGAAATATAAGAAAATTTTAAAAAACTCAGATCTTATAAAATGTCAAGGATATGGAGAATTAAGGTGTATTTGAGCCTTCTTGATTTTCAATGTTTTTTTCCATTTCTTTTAAAAAAATATGCGAGAAATGAGTTATATGGTGTCATCTATGTACTTGATATGTTTTTTGAAAATAGAAAAGATATTCTACAATTGTTAATCTATGATTTATATATTTATTTTAATATTGACGTATAAAAATGTAACATCCCCCGTCCCCATGGTTCGGAACGGGCAGTGTCACTAACGGGACTTAATTCTAAGACACAAACATTGCAAAGACACAAACATTGCAGAGCTACTAATAAACTCCAAAGGTGGGTTCACGTAAGCCACTATTGGGCCTAACCTTGTGGACCGAGTTCACCTGCAGGACGCCATGACTACAAAGCCGCCATAGAAGGCATCCCAAATAATGTGCCCATTAATTAGGTTGTTCTGAAAACCAAKAAAAACTAAACACGTGCCACTACCCGGATGGCGTTCATAAAAAGTCAACATTCAAAGTACTTCATAAAACTCGAAACTACTTCAAAATATGACAATCAATTTAACAAAATTGAAARATTCAAACAYATAATTCAACGAACTGAAAATCAAGTGTTCACGATAAAGATTCAAGAGTTTACGATAAAGGTTTAAATATATAAGTACGTAATTTATTGACCACTTTTAAGCGATCAATCACAAAGTGGTGAACCACCGTTATGAAGGGTCAACTACAACAATTAGTTGCCCAAGAGTCAAAGAAAGTGAAATCCGTACCTTAAGCGGAATAGAGAAGTAAAACACGATCAACGGGATTCCCGGTAAAGTTCGACTTGCTCGCGTGCCTAACGAATACACAAATCGGTTATTACTTAAACAACGTAAGATCATATCTTAATTCTACTAATAAACTACTTAGGTCTACATGTTTATAACCAACTTAAACTTCAAATACGACAGCCGAATATGTATTACGAAATCGACGCAACACTTAGCTTTATATAATTCCATTTCGACTTTTAGTAGCTTTTGACCCTCATTTTCGGAAGCATTTTTACCCCACTTTGAGATCAATAAAGAAAATACTATTTAAACGAAAGATGTAGTATGATATGCGATGAAACTACTGGTTCTCAAATCACCTCATTTGGATTATCCATCTATTTTATACGAATATTACAAAACAACAGATCAATCCTAAATACATTGCAAACAGCCCCGAAAACACACTATTTCGAGCCACTTAGAATCATAATTGGATTTGAAATCCTACATGAAAGTTGTAGTATGCATTAAGGGCTTTCTAACTGTAAAATATGAGCTTATTTCGACTTACGGTTTGTAAGTTATACACTATCAAATTATGGACCTGCATAGTCGGTAAAATCCGATTCCGCAATTCCCGACTAACTTTTATAATCCAAATTTCATGATTCGCTACACTTACATGCTATAAACATACTTCAACATACTAAACCGTAAAACAAATACAATGGTCGCTAACCTAAGCTTAATCATGTAATTTTACTTTTTTCGGCATTATATCGAACAATGGGTGTGCGGTTAAACATATACACCAAATCTAACCATAATGAAACCATAATATACCCTTTCAATTTCTACATCAATTTAATCAATTCTATCATTCTAAACAAGAAATATATCATACTTATAACAATATCTATCCGTAAACTTATACATAACATAATTTATAAACCGGTCCAAAAATACTAACATAAACACCCTAATAAAAGCGAATGAAATTTATACCTTTATGAAAGGTTCGAAGAGTGGATTCCGAATATATAATCGTTACTTCGATTGCTTCAACGATTTGAGAAATATCTTAGAGAGAAAAAAATGAGAGAGAGATGAGAGGGAGAAGGCGGTTGATGCAGATGAGGAATCAGATACGATGCATGTGTTTATATATATATATTTTTTTAACTCTCACATATATATATATATATATATTATAATATTATAATTATAATAAGTTTAGTAATTTTACGGTTTAAACTTTCAACAATTATCGACCGTTATTTAAGTACGGTACAATTTGGGTAAGGTAACGAGAATGTGTTTTTAAAACTCGGGTTTTACAATTCTCCCCCCCCCCTTAAAAAGGAGATTTCGTCCCCGAAATCGAATTTAGAGATATGGAACTTACATCAGTTTGCGGATGAAAGGCTGTACTAAAATTCAAACGTGTGCCTCAAGCTTTATGTAAAACTTCCCAAAAAGTCGAGATGTAAAACGTGGGTCTAGATCGAAGGTAATTGATATAGGTGTGCCATGAAGACGCACAATCTCATGTTGGAAAACTTCGGTCAGCTTATCAATTGACCAAGTTTGTCAGACAGGAAGAAAATGACCCGATTTTGTTAGTCGGTCAACCACTACCCAGATTGCATCGTGTTTCAAGATCGTACGGGGTAATCCGACTACGAAATCCATAGTTATGTGCTCCTATTTCCATACTGTAATGTTCAATGATTGGAGAAACACCACTTGGACGTTGATGTTCAATTTTAACTTGTTGACAAGTGAGACAACAAGCTAAGTCCATCGCACTTTAACACTTTCAAGTGATCAACCCGTCAAGAAGTGTGCTTGGTTTTATAAAAACTCGAATGAAACAGTGGAACGTCGTTTAATAAAACACTTAGCTACTTTCTTTCGGTTTGAAAATCTCACCTTTCCGTCTCACACCCAAGCTACAAAAGCTTAGCTACTCATAACGAAAAGTAAAAAATAAATGATGGAAAATAAAGACATAAACGTAAATAGCGTAAAGTAAATAACGAAAAAATAAATGACGAGAAAATAAATGATGGAAATGTAAATTGCGAGAAAATAAATAACGGAATGTAAATGACAATAATCGTAAAGGAACGTAAAATAAAGAGCGGAAAATAAAAGACGAGAATATAAATGAAGAAAAAGATGAAGAACTCAAAAGATTATTAAAAATCATCCTTGGAGAGGGTTTACAATACTAGTTAATGTTTTTGATGGAGAGAATGGGATACAATGGATGAAAGATGGATTAATGGATGACTAGTTGTCTACCCGCGCAATGCGGAGGGATGTAAAAAGTTCATTAAGGGTGCATTTGGTATGCAGATTACATGGGACAAGACGGGTAAAAAAAACAGTACCTTATGCATTTAAAGTTGTATTTAAGACTTTTATGAAATAAAACACCACCGCAAACTACCATTGAAACAAGAGCACTTGAGCGGCGAAGCTTTTCACTAAAAAGCTATGCCCAGAGATAAAAACACAGTGTCTGAAAAAGGTCCCCCTCTCTCTCTCCATCTCCATCTCCATCTCTTCCCTGAAAAAGGTTTACTTTTAGAAATAAATTTCAAAAGATTTCAGAAAATTAGCATCAAATATGAATCAGATTACCARAAAAATGTGGGGATTAGACCTCAAGAAAACCATCCTCTGGCGTGTATCTCTTCTCCGGCGATGTGCTCGRTCTCTATGGCACCAAATTCTTGCTTGTTGGATCGGAAAATCTATCCGCTACCGTCATTTATTGCATTCCGGTTCCGGCCCTTTGATTCCGACTTCTCATCGTTGTCCTCGTCGGCCAAGGACAACGACGGCGATGGATGTTGCCACCGTGTACCACCAGTTTCCATCGGTAGAAATGACAGCCTCTAGCGGCGATGGATTCGCTTCCGGCGAAATGACGTCATCCTGCGGCGGCTCTGATCATGATAAAGAGGGTTCCGATTTGGTGGCTTTGAAGATCAGCTTGCTGGGTGATCAATACATCGGCAAAACAAGCTTCTTGGTAATTATATATATCATATATTCATATGCTTTTTGTGGGAAAAGCTTTGTTTTGGTCAGATTATGTTTTCAAGAAATCTTGAAAATAAAGTAGTTTTTTTTTTAATTGGATTTCTTCAATTCATTTTCTGGGGAATACCAAAAACAGAAGACACAATTTTGCCATTTCCATTGGGGCTTTCTTGAAATCTGGTTTAGGGAGAGCATGCGCATGGGGAAGAGGAAGAGTGCTCTGGGGAAGAGGAAGAGTGCTCATGGGGAAGGGGATTTTGGGGAGGGGAGGGTGTAAAGGAATTTTGGAAGAGTGGAGGCGTGGAAGGGTATTTTGGGTATTATAAAACTTAAGACTTTAAGATTTTAGGGCTTTCTGCTTTATAAAGTAGTATAGATAACAAAAGGCACCCCAAGCTTTCCTTTTATACCCAAAAGGGGGCACTAAAAGACAAAAATAAAAGACTTGGAGGCTAAGCTTCCAAAAGCTAGTTACATGGTAACAAAAGAGTAACTAAAAGGTACAATAGCCTAACCAAAGTCTTAGCAACAGATTTTTAATCAAAAAGTCAGCTTCTACAACTGTCTTCCACTAGTCAAAAAGTCAGCGTCTTAACCATTAAGCCCTCCAAAAAGCTGCACATGAATCAGATCGACGCTGCACCAATGCTGTAACATCCTGCTGTTTTCACAAAAACTCCCCATTAGCTTCATTTAAGAGTACCAACAAGTCAACCACAATATTTAGCTTCATAACAACAAATGTATAAAGAAATAAATAAAAATGACTCAAAGTGGGAATGAAAAGAAATTATTCTACCAAATAAGACGTAAAACGAGTGCTTTATGTGTTAAATTCTCAACACATATCACACCCCCAAACTTAAACCGTTGCTTGTCCTCAAACAACCAAAAGAGAAATATAAAGACTCAATATAAACAAAAATACATGATCAAGGCATTAAGTGCCTTCCCAAAGAGAGTTATAGCAATATGATGATCATAGCCTTTCATAAATCTAAGATGAGTCACTCAAAACCAAGTTCTTTGTGTGTGAACCATAGGCTAGCATTACCCTTTTCTTCGTTAAGTTCAAACACAATCACCATTTTAGGATCAATAGGGCTTATAGGGTTTTCTCTCATTGGCGTATCTTTTCTCTCATAGCCTTTTTTCTTATATACTCCACATATAAAATTTTCAAGTTTTGGGCACTTTGGCCTCTTTTGTTTGGAGTGTGCACATAGTCCCTATGGGACTTTTGTTGTGCTTCATAACATTTTCTAAAACACATAGCCCCTATGGGACTTTTGTTGTGTTTTCCAAACCCTTTTGTGATAAGGAGTCAATTTAGAGTTTTGCTCTTTTGTATTGTGTGGCACCCCAGTCTCCACACATTGCATATTACATAGAATTCATTCACAGAATACATAGATTCCCATATAGGTCCAAAATTACAAGAGTCTGTGCTACAGGTTTACGATATAAATTGCATAACTTAAAAATTCCAAAATACATGCATTTGTAAACTAGCATTGGTCTCCTCCAAAACACATTTAGATATGGTCTTCAACATTTAAGCACATAAGGGAAGTAATCATATAATGCTTTTTCCCTTATTGATATTATAACTGGTATTACCTGCACACATATTTTAAAACATAAAATGAGGGTTAGACAAAAGTCTAGTGAGATTCCCTTTTTCATGCTATGCAGGGTGAGATCACCAAAACATTTACAAAAAATCTCTCAACATAATGAAGAATAATAAAAGAATCGCATCCTGTTTAGGTCCATCGGGCCTCTTGTTCAAAATCCCATACTTAAAAAAATAATGGTTTTCCAGTCCATCGGCCTCTGGTTCCATAGGGTCCATCGGGCCTCTGGTTCCAAAGTGTCCATCGGGCCTCTGGTTCCAAAGTGTCCATCGAGCCTCTGGTTCCAAATACACTTTAACAAATATTTTGATTTTAGAGAACCAGAGATCCTATGAAGGACCAGAGCCTCTTTCTTAAATAACAACTCCCATGAAAACTCATTGATCAATTCTAATAATAAACATAACCTTTCCAAGGAGTTAAATCATATTTTTAGAATGTCATGAAGGACCAGAGCCTCTGTGTGAAGTCCAAAAATCATATAAACATCATACGATCTTCAAGAATTATGATGAACATAATATTAGAAGGAATATCTTCAAAGAATGATTTGATTGAGAGAGAGAAAATTACAGCTGAAATTCTTCATTACAATTTGCTAATCACTTGGTAATGACAATTACAAGGAAAAATACTATTTATACTAGGAAATAGTAAACTACACTATTACAAAGTAAAACTATACTAAGGAGAAACTTGAATACAACTTTAACGCTTTAACTCAAACCCAACATTCTCCCCCWTTGGATTCAAGTTTGGACTCTTGTGAATTTCGTCTTTCGCAGTCCAAGTATTTTCTCCAATCTTCTCAGAGCAAATTTATCGCGTTGACCAGCAAATATCTTTCCTTGGAGCTCATCCGTTCTGATTCAGCAGCTTTATCGTTCATCACCCTTTTTAAGTCAAGTGTCCTTCTCACTAATTTTATCGTGCCATCAGAATATTTATTCAACTCGCTAAATCTCATGAATTTCTTAACTTGAAGTTGAGCGAAGTAGATGACCCCGAACTCTGGACTTTCAAGAATCATATAGACTGGATAGCCTTCAATATCTTCTAGTTCTTGGTTTGGTCTTTTAAGATTGATGATTCGTTGATTGTCTCAAGACCCATTTGCACATCAATGACCATCGCCAGTTTTACATGACAGCGCATAAATCTCTTGATAGCTTCAAGAGCAACCAGTTCTCCTTCCTTTCTGATCGTCATGTTTTTGAGTTCAAAGTACATATATTCAAGGTCATCCAAATATAAGTTTGAAAAGTCTGCTTCGCTGAACCTCCAAATCTGACCATCCTGCCTTGTTACTGTGAAAACAGGATACCAGATTCTTAACAACTTCTGATCATCAATTTGTTTAATCGATACAATCCGATGCTTTGTACGCACTTCACTAATTGGCAGGCACTTGGCTTTCAAAAGATGTCGGTATTCAATACGATATTCTTTTGTCTGCTTATGAATACCCAGAACTTTGTCGCCGCTTAGAACTTTTCTATGACGGATGAAGATTCCAAAGTAGATATCTTCTAGATATGGCTCTCGGATCCTTGCACGATCATATCCTGGAAAATTTGCTCTAATATGGAATGGCACATAATCTCTGGTGAAGATTTCAGTTGGATCAACTTGTTCTCTTTGAGCAGGTAAAACTGCAGTGGAAGATTCTGGAACAGACTGACGTTCTTCTTGAACAGGATAGACTGGATCTTCATCATCTATATCAGCTTCAAAGTCAAAATAGATC